CTTCGGAGCAGCGCCGCTGTTTGGAATTTCAACATTTTCCTTCTTAGCTTTCCTCCTAGCTCAACTCACAAATCGCGCATTGTACCAAACGCTCCAAGAGGACGGAAAGGAAGGACTCCCCTCTTTCTCGGACCCTCGTTCATGCAACCGGACACAGCCATTCTCCCCTCAGAAGATCAGCCCGTCGCTCAAAACTCGAACGAAAGTTGCTTTCCCCACCCCGTTCAGCCCTAAGCTGACAGCGTTGTGGAAGCTACGTGCTCCTTGGGCCAGCCTCACGCTCGTCACCCCTAGGGTGCCTTCATGTGCGCACATGAAGGCTCCTTAGTCACCCCACGGGTACATCGAACGCTGATAACGCCAGCAAGGGCAAAGCTCATAACCACGCCAGCCTTGGTACGTCACGAATGCGGGGAATCTTTTCTTTCTGTTTTTGTTTGCGCCGGATATCCCATGACTAATCGCGCTCTCCGTTCGCTTCTCTTCGAGCGCTTGCTCGAGTGCACCGCTTGGAACGAAAAATATAGCCAGTCGTTCAAAATGCAAACGTGCGATTATAATTTACGGTTTTTATCCGTCATGCTTGACTCATTTCCAAACGAAATTTAAATATTTCAATTTTTGTTTCCGTACCCCTTTAAGGTGATTAATAGGCATAAGCCACTCATCACACCACTTCTCAATAAAACACAGGTAATCTTGCAGTGCCTTGAAATCGACTTTGATGTTATATAGCGCTATAAATAAAAACATAGTTGGCAAGCAAACGAGCACTTTGACCACCAATTTAATGTAAACGAGGAAAAGCAATGGGCCCAGTACGGTTCCCTGGGGTACTCCTGAAATAACTTGCAAAGAATAAGTTGCTTCACCCAGCCTGACAGACTGGGTTCTTGTAGTAAGAAAGTTGTTTATCTAATTAATAAGTACTGAATTAATTTTTATGTGGTTTAGTTTTGCGATAAGTCTGCAGTGTGGCTCCCGACCAAAAGCTTTTGAAAAGTCAATAAACACAGCGTCAGTCTGCGCAAGTGTATTGAGGTTATTTTAAATATCAGTAACCAATTTAGAAAGCTGCTTTGTACAAGATCGTTTTTCACAAAATTCATGCTGATTACAAAACAAAACATTGTTGGAATCTAGAAATTGCATAACGTTTGTAAAAATATTATGCTCCAGGAGTTCACAACAGACGCTAGTTAAAGAAATAGGTCGATAGTTGCTAGGTTCGCCAGAATAATTGCACTTGAGAATAGGAGTTACGTCAGCATGTCTTTAGTCGTTGGGAAGGCTATCCGCGGTGAGGGATTGATCAAAAATTTTACTTAAATACAAAGATGAAGTGTGCTTGGTCATTTTAAAGATTTTATTGTTAATGCCGTCACAGCCAGGAGATAAGCTAATTGGAAGTTTCTGTATTAGATGCAAAACGCTTTCTGGAGAAATGGTTACAGCCTCCATTTCATTGAAGGCATGCTGGGAAGGTAATAGCGGTGGAGGGAAAGTTTCTCGGGTTACTGAAATATTACATTACATTACTGAAATATTCATTAAATTTATCACACTTCATTGTCACGAAGTTTAATTCGAGTCGAGGACAACCGGGCATGCTTTCTTTGTAGAAGAGTTAATTTCCCATTTTTTTATTATTAGAAACTAGAATATTGTAAAGATCGTTTTCAATAAAAATTTCGTTTCGCATTTTTTTATTTTATTTTTACAAATTTTAGTGTAATCCCGAAAACGAGACCATGGCATAGGGCATCGGCATTGTCCTTTGCGGACTGGATGACGTGATTTCCCTTATTACTCCAACTGGCGCAGTCAATCAAAACGGAAGAAATTGAGCGAGCTATTAAATATTGCCTGCCTCCCACCCCCTCTCCCCGGCATTGCCAGGGGAGAAGTGGGAGGGGTCTTATGAGGCTTCAGCCTCCTTTCCCCTCTCCCCGCACCCGAAAAAAAAAAAAAAAAGAAAATTCCTGGCAAAACCATTACCCCCACGCATAAAAAAAAAAAAAAAAAAAAAATAGGTGAAAATTTATTAGTGTTTCTGGCAAAGGAGGTCTGTAAGGTGATTCGGCAGATGCAACAGACTGTCCGCCATCGTACGCGTCAGCAAAAGGACCGCGGGCAGCTCCAACCACTCCATGGCAGGACTCCGCGACACAGCGAATCATTGTTGCTTGCGGCTATCAGGAACGTTCGGACTAGGGGTGTCGTGAACTTTTGTCGAACCAGATTTTTTGGTCGAACTTTCTAGGTTCGACCGGGTCGAACCGGGTCGACGAACCTTCGAACTTTTCATCAGATTCGACCGGTTCGACTTTGTGGACAGTGTGGCCAGACCTTGATACAAGCATGTCTAGGTTTGGAGATTTTTTTTTTTAATGCAAAGGTTTATTTTATTTTGTGAACAGCTGCAATTAAAAGAAACTAATTCTAATCACTGAAGAAGTTAATAACTTAATTTTAGTACTGTATTGACTGAAATAGCTAATCAGCGTTGCACTTAATTCATCGCTTAGCCATTACCATCCAATCCGAAGCCAACTGGCCAGCCTGTCGCGCATGCGCACGCGAGTCGAACCTCAACACAAGGTTCGTCGAACTTTCCGCTAAAAGTTCGAAAAAGTAGAACCTGGTCGAACTCGAACTGCGGCCGGTTCGCGACACCCCTAGTTCGGACCACGCCAATGGACCTTTTCCGAGAAGCGTTCTGCGCACGCGCGAGCGCCCGATGCCAAGTGGCGGAAGTCGGAACGAAAAATCGAGGAAATTTGGAAGGAGGCTGTATTTCAGCGAGTAGAACACGTAACTGCAGCATATATATAATTGTGTTACACACAAAAAAAAAAAAAAAAAAAAAAAAAAAAAAAAAAAACGTCGACGGAAAGGAAAACACGACGTTTGGGTGGACGCCACAGATGCCCCGCCCCTTCTTTAAAGTCGCGTTGGGCAGGCGCCGCTGCTCAGAGAGCGAAGAAATTAGTAGCGTAGCTCCCATTATCGATTGGTAGCGCAGGTAGGTCACTTCCTCGATTTTTAGTTCGTGCAGCCACCGCCTGGTGCCGTCGGTATGTGGAAAAGGTCCAATGGCTGCCGGTAGTCCTCTGTCCAAGGCGCATGAGGAGTACCAGGCTCTCTGTAGATCTCTTCGCGGCACAATTCTTCGAGCCAGGGTTAGGCGCCGTTCGCACACTTGCAATGGAGTGGGACGGGAGGAGGTGGGACCGGTTTTTGAGCCTCTTCCGACGTCTTGGGATCGGATGCACTGCTGCGCAGCTGGTCCTATAAGCGTCGCGGGGGGCTTGGGGCTGGTCTTGTCTCTCTTCGTCCTACTCGGTTGCGGGTGTGAACTGCGCTTTAATCTAAGCTGGCGCAAACTTTCAGCTTTCTCTCCCTGTATTTAGCTTCACTGTCATCATTTTATGTCCTTGTTACATCTTTAGTTTTCTGGATATCATTTTGTGACTCTAATGTACCCGGCGGCAGGCAAGCAGACGCACAGGCGTAAGGGTTTTAAGTTTTAACCTTTCTGCTTCGCCTTGCACGCTGCCGTGTACGTGCCTGATCTGTGCAAATAAAAATAAATCAATCAATCAAGGCGCTGTCCGGTTATGTCCTGCATGTCCTCAAATGCTTCCTGGGTTTCCGAAACAAAAGTCGCGCCAACCAGCGTTTTGAAAACGGCGCCAACTGCACGGCAATATCCCTATAATGAAACGTTGGCGGTAACATTTTTTACAAGAATATGTCTTGTGCTATCTATCGAGTATTTTTATTTTATCTCTCTAATAGTTTTGTTTTTGTGCAGTACTGTATGTGTTAAATGTTTTGCTGATTATCAATAATCTAATAACATAATATCTGTACTTATTTGGTTGCATTACATATTGCACTCTCTGTACGCAATGTCACGTGATTTTCCCAAGGACCGCACGCACGCACTGCCAAAGGGCGCGTTAAGTTAGTGAGCTCCAGACTCCGGACATCTGCGCTCGAGCGCGCGGGTTCGGAGCGTAGCTTAACGGCGCACTTTGTTACCGAGGCGACATCTGACGCCTGTTTTTTTAACGTTTCCGTTTCCGGCTTTCCGGCGCGCGCTTGAACATGGCTCCCGTCCCGTCGAAACATCGAAAAAGTGTTTGGTCGACGACGACTTCGATGAAATAAGTGCGCGGAGACGGCGGCAACAGCGAGAGCTTGTATTTATGCTGCACGCTGTTGGTGCGGCGATTAAAGGTACGCCGAACGCCTTCTGAATTCCCAAAAGCCTTAAAGAATGACGGCGGAATGGCCGAATTTATTGGCTCGCCCGATTCTGAAATTGCGGTAAGGTACATGAAGAACTTCGACAAGCATTTGAAGGATGTATGCATACCTTTCTACACCAGCACCATGCTTTTTTTATTTTCCACGATGACGGAACGACTACACGAGCTGCCAAGCGATCGCCGTCGAAGTATCCACGCATCCAAACAGGCGCGACTTTCGCGTCCAACGGAGTCGCTAAAGACTTCGGCGCAAGTACGAACGACGCCGAGAGCTCCGAGCACTGTATCGTAGCGCAGAACGAGCAGCTCCTACCCACGACCGGCCTACCTCGGTGCCGTTCCTGGCTAGGCCGGAGCCTTTCGGCCGCGGGGTTCGGTTGGTGCGGTCGCGGTCGGCGAAGTTTGGCGAGGCGAGCGCGGTGGCATCCTCGGAGCGTTCGGAAGCGACCTCGCTCGCCAGGGATTGCGCACACCCGACGACCCAGGTCCAGAGTGGCCCGGCGGCCCGGCCCGGAGCCCAAAACGCTTGGGTTTTGATGATTCTTCCGTCTCGTGCGAGACCACCGCACCACCGTGTGAAACCGGTGAAACCACGGCCACCGACCACCGTGCAAAACCACCGCGAGTAACCGCGAGACTGGTCGCGAGAGCGGAAACGCCGTCATCTCACCGGAAACCGACCTGTTCGAGCTCTCGCGCACCATCTCCGACGATGGAGCTCGCGGAGCGCGCTCCGCCACCGTGCACCGGAAGTGAGACGTTGTCGTTTAGTTTAGCTCGAGTGCACTCTGACCGCTGGAGCGCGCTCGAGCGCGTTAACTTAACGCGCCCAGTGCGTTGCCGCGTTGCATTGCAGGCTCCGCAGGCTATGGATCTGACCACGGTGTAGTACCTCTTCTCGAATCTGGTGAAAAGTTCGAAGGTTCGTCGACCGGTTCGACCCAATCGGACCCCGAAAGTTCGACCTAAAAATCCGGTTCGATAAAAGTTTGCGACACCCCTACGCCCCTACCTCTGACTCAAGTGGCGAGTGATTCATCAGTGGCCCAGTTGGCTCAGTCGCTCAGTCCTGAGCCGTGCTGCAGCTGTTTCTGTGGTCTACGGCACTTCCCAGTCCGTATGACACCCCAGCTCTTCAACGGCACAGCTGAGCGGCGCTACACAAGCTCCTTTGCACAACGTTACCGAAAACAAGGTGGCTACCTCGAGGTACTCTCATTCTGTCCAAAGCTAGTTCCTCAACATTCTGAAGTCTGAAGACGTAGTCGCCGCAGAAAAGGCGCGTTCAGTGGCACCCGGCTCTAGAGATGTCGGAGGCGACGAAGGATTCTGCCTATCCGGTGCAGTTCGTGCCCTTCTCATCCGCCCTAGACGGAACCTTTTGGAGCGAGATCAGCCGTCGCAAACTGGAGGTGGTCCGTCTCGAAGAAGGACCCGTGCCGGCGCAAGCATGGTACTCCTGCGACTCGGCCGTCGGTCTACCGGCACTTGCCAACTTGGACCACACCGCCTTCGACATGTCGTCGTCGCTCTCGACCGGCGCTAACATCCCCGGTAGCTGCCAGCTTCGCGGGAGCATCTGGCTCCCTAACTCCCTGGAGGCCATGAAGAAACTCGACAAAACTGCCCTCCTCGAAGCCGCGGGTCAAAACATATGGGACGCCATCGAGAGTGAGTCTGCCCTGCGCGATCCCGGTACCCTGAACGCCTTCATCGGAATCGTGTACGTGGACATCAAGAGCTACAAGTTCTGGTACTGGTTCGCGTTCCCGGCTGTCTGTCTCCCCGACGCCGTGGTCTTCGCCGGTCCGCCGACGAAGCTACCAGATGTGATGAAGGACGACCTTGTCAGTCAGCTGGACGCAGCGTACGGTAAGCTGAAGCCCGCTGACCGTGCCGCGTTCCTTGTGGACGCTGACTCTTCGGGGGCACTGAAGATTCTGCCGCTGAGCAAGCTGAACGAAGTGTACGAGTCGGGTCGCCGTTTCTACGTGGGCTACACGGACCCGTCGACGTCTGAACAGCACCCCGGTTGGCCCCTGCGAAACTTGCTGGGCATGCTGTCCCGTTGCTTTCGCGGATCGAAGGAGCGGAAGGTGTTACCGCTGCTGGCCTATCGACGGCAGGCCAGGGAGGGACAGCTCTGGAGCAGTCGGAGCCTCGTCTTTTCGGTCCGCTTCGGAGGAGATGCCTTGGAGCGTCCCAGGTCTGTCGGAGGCGTTACTGTTTTAGAAAGGAACGATTTGGACCTGCGGAGCAGCAGAGCTCTGTTTGAAGTTCTGTCGTGTTGTTGCCTCATGAAAGTGATCAGGGGGGCTATGTTCGACAAATGTTTCGTTTCTCCTAATAAGATACAGAAGTGACGGAAGTGATGATATCGCGTCTGATGGGCTAGAGGCTCAAATGACGAAAGAGGGAACTTTCGTCATTTGAGCCTCTAACCAGTCAGACAAGACATCGTCACTTCCGTTTCTTTTTAGGAGAAATGAAATATTTGTCGAACATAGCCCCCCAGGTTTCAAGCGAAGTCAGCGGACACTTAAAAAGTTGATTCAGTATTGCAAGTAAAGAACTTTAGAAGTGAATAAAAGTTGCAGCTAAAAAAAACAACCGCATCTCCACGTGGTGAATAATGTTGATTGGGGCGAAGCTCTGGTGGTGCTTGTCTGTGTAAACGCTGAGCCGCAGCATGTTGAGCCTTTCGTTCGTTTTCATCCATGTAACGCTGCGGTCAAATGCTCAGACGCGTATATAACCACGTTCCATACCACACATTCTCTTTCTGACATGGGTGAAAACGAACGAAAGGCTCGGCATGCTGCGGCTCACCGTCTACGCAGACAAGCACCACCAGAGCTTCGCCCCAATCAACATCATTCACCACGTGGAGATGCGGTTGTTTTTTGTTTGTTTTTTCCCCTGCACGAGCACGGGAGCACGTGCTCACGTGCTTGTGACCCAACGGCGGACGGACATACGGACATGGCTAGCCCCTAAGGAGCTTTGCCCCTAAAAGAGGGGATGTACTCCTTGTAGTTGACAATTAAGGATTGCATTTGAGTACTTAGTAGAATCACCAGGCAAGAAAAGTATGGTAAAGAATTTGGTAGGTGTTCTGCCTTTAGCATGCACTTGTTGCCGTCCATTGAACTTTAAGGTCCGTTCACACTCTTGCAACCGAGTACGACCGAGAGAGACCACACCGGTTTTTAAGCTTCTTGCGACCTCTTAGGACCAGCTTTGCTGCAGCGCTTCCGGTCCTAAGAGGTCGCAAGAGGCTTAAAAACCGATCTGGTCTCTCTCGGTCGTACTCTGTTGCAAGAGTGTGAACGGGCCTTTAGCTGTATGTGCAAAGAAATGTTATTGAAGGCGGAGAGTTTGTGCTCGAGGCAGGGAATTTATCGGGTTCTTAACTCTGTCGCCAACTAGAATTACTGGTAGATTGACTGAAACACTAACTTACTTTGATGCTACAGTGCAAGAGAGGAAGCAATCGAAAAATGCTTCAACAGTATAATTCAGTTACTCTGCACTTGCTACCAATCTAGGACCATTCCATATGTCTGTCTTTGTCCCAAAGTTGTTTGGTCGAACACTTGAAAACAAAAAGGTAGAGTCAGGTTTACAGAGACCTTTTCAACTCCCAGGTTTGTCGGCTGGGAACGCAATGCGACTGGACAACTGGGACCTCGCATGGTGAACCTGAGTGGCGGCATGGACCCAAAAAAAGTGGCAGAGACTGCAGTAGGCCTCAACCTGCAACTGATGCGGTGGCGACTGGCACCAACCCTCAACCTCGAAGTCATTGCGAATACCCGATGCCTTCTGCTAGGTGCGGGCACCCTTGGCTGCAATGTGGCCAGATCGCTGATGGGCTGGGGCGTCCGCACCATCACTTTCGTGGACGCCGGTCGGGTCTCCTACTCTAACCCTGTTCGACAGAGTTTGTACATCCTTAGCGACTGCGAAAATGGAGGTCGGCACAAGGCAGACGCCGCGGCAGATGCCCTGAAGTGCGTTTTTCCGGCGATGGATGCCCGTGGCGTGGTGCTGAGCATACCGATGCCGGGACACGGTGTGCCATCTGGCTCGGGAGACACCATACGGAAGCAGGTAGAGCAACTTGAACAACTTGTTGCAGAGCACGACGCAATCTTTCTGCTCCTGGACACGAGGGAAGCCCGTTGGTTACCAACTCTTATGGCGTGCGCAAGGGGCAAGCTGGTTATCAATGCGGCGCTTGGCTTCGACACTTTTCTGGTGATGCGGCATGGCGTGGGGGAAAGAAGTGAAGTGGACTCCGACAAACCGTCAAGATGTGGTGAAGGACCGTCCACCTCTGGAGATGGACAGTTTGTGCATGGTGGCATGCCATCAACATCTGGCAAGAATCCATCAACGTCTGGCGAGGGGCCCCCAGCGTTTGGTGATGGTCCCTCAAGGTCAACTAAAGAACTGCCAACGTCTGGTAATGGGCATTCAGTGCCTATTGGTGGACCATCAATGTCCAGCGGTGGAGAGCAGTTGTCCGCTGACCAGCTTGGCTGCTATTTCTGCAACGATGTTGTCGGACCCACCGACTCAACGAGGGACCGTACGCTCGACCAACAGTGCACGGTGACAAGGCCCGGTGTGAGCATGATGGCTGGAGCGCTGGCTGTGGAGCTCCTGGTCGGTCTGCTCCAGCATCCAGAGAAGGGACGTGCGCCAGCGGGTGCAGGTAGCTGGGACGCACCTTGCGACAATCCGCTGGGGATGGTGCCCCACCAGATACGGGGCTTCATAGGGCGACACCATTACATGACACTTGCGTGCACCGCCTTCTCTATGTGCACCGCTTGCTCCCCTGCGGTGGTGTCGCAGTACAATGCGGACGGCTGGGAGTTTGTGGCGCATGTGCTCAGAGACGCCAGCTATCTCGAAGAACTGACTGGACTCAGCAGGCTGCATGCTGAGACAGACTTGGATCAAGTGTGGGCACTGAGTGACAGTGAAGGGGACTGAGTGACTCTGAGCTTTGTCCTGCCAGGGGGACTTCCTGGACTCCGTTTACTTCAAGCAGAGGCAACCGTTCCAGGGTCGTGAACAAACGAGCCTCGTTTGTGTTTGGGTGCATGCCTCAGAGCTTTGAGTAGAAACTTCTTGCCCAAGGTTCTGAGGCTCCATGGCTGTATGCATGGCAGGAATTCTCATCACTACCTCTCACAGATGTGGATCTTGTAGTTACTAGCTCATTATGGCTCAAGGTGGGAAGAGGTGTGCACAACAAAAGGGATGGTAGAGGTGTTTAGGCGACTAGTTCTTGCGGCCAACGCTGCTGTGCCATGGCCGTCAGGTCGACACCCAGTATTGCAAGATTGTGTGCATTGGAGGTTAGTTGAATGTTGTAAAGGAAACTGGCCCGACATAGTTCTACCACACTGTTCTTCATTGCAGGGGTACGACTATATTGACTTCCTTGAACTAAGCTTGTTCATTCACCTACATGCCGAGAGTGCAGCAAGGTCTGTGAACATGAACTCGAGATCTACAGCTCGAGTGCTCCCCAATTGGAAGCATCTTACTTTCAAATCCCTTGAGCATGCTGTTCCAGCCTTTACTGCACTGCGAGTTCGAGATGAAGCAAGAAAGTATCCCATGAGAGCCTATAATGTTCATACTTTCCAAACGAACAACGGGCATCTGCAATGCCAAAAAGAGGAAGTTTTTAATATTGAAAATGTATATAGATCTGCCGAACATGAAGACATTATTTTGCCTTTATTTATTATTCTTCACATATTGTTATTTTTTACCTTGCTGATCTGATAATCTGCAGGAACAATCCACAGACCTATTGGCGAGGAGATAGAACTGTAGGGGCACTCTGACTCGTTTGTTGCCCTCCACCTCAGAGTTCACTCAACACAGGGCCCGTGGGCATGCCTGCAGGCCTTGTGGGCATGTCCACGTCAACTTCAAGAGAGAGGACAGTGCAGCGTAAGAATACTAACAATAAACAAAGTGACGTTTATTGTTAGTGCCGGATCTCTCCTGAAAGCGGTCGTTGGGGGATGCGAGCTTGACCCACTTGGGCTTTTGTGCTGAGCTGGGCACTGTGCATGCTGCATTGTTCATGCTGGCTAGAGTGGTAAGCCCCTTCCCCTCTGGCAACCAGAGAACACAAAATCCAGCTGAACACTCGTGCGGCGTTCGGTTAAGTCAGCCGGGCGCCGAGTCATTGTTATTTGTTGTCCCCATTCCTGTTCTAAAGTTAGCCGCTCAGGCGTCGCGGTCTGATCTCCCCAATACGGTGGCACAAAAGAGTCTTCCACTGTAAAATGAGCCAGAAAAATCGGCGTCTGCACATAGCTGCACATAGCAGTTTTACCGTGAGCAATTTAAAGGCGTAGTTTCCTTCCTGTAGAAAGAGGAGACCAAAGTTGCCCACGGGTGCATTCGCAGACGACAGAGTTAGCGACGCTATTTACTTGTCGTCTGCTCACTGTGCCTATCTGGACATGATGCTACAAATAAATAGCGTCGCTAACTTGGTTGTCTGTAAACTTGCCTAGTGTGGCCTTTGGAAAGTTTGTTAGTCTCATTGTTTACAGGAAGGGAACTACGCCTTGAAATTCTGCATGGTAAAAACTGACCTCCTTGGTGCACGTTCAGTGGAAGTTTGAGCTTTCTTTGTGAAGGAGCCAATATTTCCGGCTTTTTTTCCAGCGGTAGATCTAGAACATCTTATATAGTGTTTTGGCCCAGAAAAAAATGACAGCAAGGCAATAAAAACTGGCCCACAAATCATCCTTAACCCCTTGCCTACTAACAAGTCTCCCTCATGTTGCCCCTTACAGACCGTAAGGCCGGACCACGAGCATGGCTCACATTTAGGTTTCAGCGCTTGTTAGCGCTCTCTGGCAAATGGCAAAACCACCCGTTGCTCCATGTCCCTTGGGCAGTTTGCTCGTTTGTTTTGCTGTTTGACAGAGAGAACGCTTCATTTAGCCAGAAAAAATAAAAAGCAGTCACTTGCGAGCATTTAGGCTAAAACAACATGACTTTGGCGCGGAGGTCCACTTTAGCCGACAAAAAGATCCAAATCCTTTTTGAAATGCTCAGGCACATGCGACGACAAATCCTTCGGCCTTTCCAATTTTTCGGAATCGTACAATAGTTTGATGGGCGGTGACAGGAGTGATGAAATCTATGCGAATCCTGCAAGCATTCCATCAACTTCGGTGTTCGCACATCGGAGGGACTTGGACCAGAAGTCCTGATTTAGAGCAAGATACGACACCTGGAAATCAAGGAAATATTTTTGTCTTATTTTAATTGCAGAATGCCCGTTTAAAATAAAATTTTGCTGTACATTCCTTGAAGGAAAAAGAGTAGGCGAAGGGTTAAGGAAGGCACAAATGAAAGCCACAAGTAGATTCACAAGAAAAGCATCCTGCAAATGGGAGCAATGAAAACAAAACTTCACGTCTTGTCTCGAAACATTTCAAGTTTGTTCCTCCACAGTCCACTATTTCAAACAGATGTGCGTTGTTGAGCAAGCACTTGCTGCTTCTAAGAGGAAAAGTTTTGTCCCCTTCATCTTGATTGCTTTTGTGTCCCAATAGGAATAAGCTTCAGTTCACACTTTTTTTTCATTGCGAGTGTGTGTTGAGGAGTACTTAAATTGTTCTTTTCTCCAAACTCCTTTATTCTCCAGCAGATAGAGTTTGTTCCCAACTTAAATGCATTCAGCAAGGCAGAAATTTAGTGTTGTAAGCAGTGGACGAACAAGACACTGCTCCACGAGTGCTATTGCCAATCGTGTGTTAATGGCCAGATTCTGCAGTACCAGTAATATTTGTTCGAGCCCATAGTACCCATATAATTACTACAATGGATGTTGTGCAAGTAGTCCGATAGTGGCTGGTCATCTCCATGGGACTAGCTGAAAGTCCAGAATTTGTGACGAGTGCTTTGTGGCATAGAAACAAAGTAGAGTTAAAAGTGTGCAATAAGGTAAAGTGACTTCTGTCTAGATTTCGGTCTACTAAAAAAAAAGAGTTTGCTATGTATTTAATGAAGCTCTTGATGTCTTGCTGCAATCTTGTGGTACCAACTGATAATAAACCGAAATCTTCCATCACCAAAAGCTTCAGAGTCACTTCCACGTCGCGGGTGCGCATGCGCAGCAGGCCGGCGCAGAGCTGCACTCGCTCCTGTAGCTCCTTACTTGCACTTATGGTGGAATGGAGTATAGATACAACCATCCCAGGCAGCACCGAGTTCTGGGCCAAAACTTGGCTTGCGTCTGGCAGTTTAGGGCATTAAAAAGCCCGAAGAAGCCAAAGTAGTGCCAAACCTGACCTCCCTTGGCAACAGTCTGGGTATCTTGGCCCTAATTCGCCAAACAAGTGCCAAACTTAGGCTTCGCTGCCGGGTAGTTCGGCTGTCGTCTGGCATCTTCGGGCCTAAATCGCCTAAAAAATGCCAGATTTAGGCTTACTGCCCGGTAGTTCGGCAGATCTTTGGCATTTTTGGGCCAAAATCGCCAAACTAATGCCAAAGTTAGGCTTCACTTTTTGATAGTTCGGCTATCACCTGGCACATTCGGGCCAAAATCGCCACAGATGTGCCAGAGTTAGGCTTACTACCTTGTAGTTCGGCAGAGCTTTGGCATTTTTGGGCCAAAATCGCCGAACTAATGCCAAAGTTAGGCTTCACTTTTTGACAGTTCGGCTGTCACCTGGCACATTCGGGCCAAAATCGCCAGAGGTGTGCCAGAGTTAGGCTTACTACCTTGTAGTTCGGCAGAGCTTTGGCATTTTCGGGCCAAAATCGCCAAACTTATGCCAAAGTTAGGCTTCACTTTTTGACAGTTCGGCTGTCACCTGGCACATTCGGGCCAAAATCGCCACAAATGTGCCAGAGTTAGGCTTACTACCTTGTAGTTCGGTTGAGATCTGGCATCTTTGGGCCCAAGTCGCCAAACGAGAGCCCAAGTTAGGCTTCGCTTCCCGATAGTTTGGCTGTGATCTGGCAGCTGCGGGCCAAAGTTGCCAAACAAGTGCCAGAACTAGGCTTACTGCCTTGGAGTTCGGCTGATGAAATATTTGATGTACGCGGGTGGTCTTCATCTTAATTAAATAGAAATCAAGTTTTATTCGGCTGGCAACTTTATCCTATTTTGGGTGTCTCTTGATTTCTGCAGTCCAAAGGTTGGCTGAATGTTTTGACGCGGCTGGAGCAGGCTTTGCAAACGCAAATAAATTGTGCCAGAGGTTGCACTCGCGCGTAGGTACACAAGCCAATATCGGGGCGCGTCGTGAGACTGGTTCGACATTATGGCGCGTTCACACCGGCGATGCGATCTAGTCGCGCCATAACTTTCATCGCAAAAGCGACCATCGCGGGCAAAAAGTGACGGGTTTTGAGCAGTCGCTTGCTGACCCGACTTTTTACAATGCACTCTAGTCGCGGAAAGGCCGAGCCAACCAACGGCGTTCGGAGCGAGAGTTTTTGAGAAGCGACTCGCCAACGAAGGCGTTGGACTCGCTCATCGCGCACGCCAAATTGACCAACCAATTACTTTTATTTATTTTCTTTTTTTTTTTGCGATGCGATATAGTTGGATCGCGCGACTGCTTACATCCCCGTTGTGAATCCGCCTTTACAGAAAGTGCTGCCATTGAGCTAACACTGCGCAAGACGGATGTACGCACGTTTCCACAAGAGATATCATTATTAGGCGGCGCATTCCAAAAGCGAGCGTGTCTCTGTGCGTGTCTTGCATTGTGATTGAGCACTGTCAAATCCTAGCGATAACAAAGAGCGGAAACGACCGGGGCTCCGTGGCGCGGCTCCCGCATCACACTTGGGGAATGAAAATGAAATCCCGGAAATTGTACTAGTTTAGCGTGTTGATACCTTTTCAACATTAAAAAGTGGAGACACAAAAGGGACGATACAGACAGGACAATCTGAACTTTAAAGGCCGCTGTACAAACGGGACGTTCTACAGAGAAGAACCTTCTCTCCCGAAGCTAGGGGACGGGGAGGGAAAGGGCCATCGTTGGGTGGAAAGAGCGTCTAGAGAATGGGATTAGCCTCGGGGCGAGCCATCCTCTCGAGAGGGAGTGGGGACGGAACAAAGCTGCCGTGGGAATTCCGGCTAAAAGGTGGAAGAAAGTTAAGCTTGTCAAACGCCGACCTCAGATCCGAGGACGGGCACGTTAGAGAATTTGAAAAAAGCTGCTTGATTAGCCGGACGACCCAGTGCGGTCTACTGGTTCTAGAAGGTGACTCGGATGAAGAAAACTCGTTTTGCTCGAAAACTCTAAAAGCATTCTGGACGTGAACTCTTGCCACAAATAAAAATAACACATGCATGAAAAACTACGAAGGCAACTAAGCTTTCTCCTATGATGGGAGAATGCGTGAGCATTACAGGCAGAGTTATGTTGGCGCAACTTACAATAAAGAAAGAAAAAAAAAAGTTATGTTGGCGCAACGGACAGCGCCCTAGTTTCACGATCAAGCGGGCCTAGCTTCGAAACCGGGATGTTTTTTTTTTCTCGTGTTCTTTTTTTTATTTCGTTTATTTTTTTTATTTTTTTTTTGTTTGGTCACGTCACCAGATTTTTTTCTTATTTCTCCTTTCCTTCAGTCTTTCTTTCTTTTTTTTTTTCCTTTTTTTTTTTTGGTTCACGCTTCCTATCGCAAAACTCTTTGCACCTATTTCGCGTTAAATTGGCGTTAGCCAAATCATTTTATTTATGGCAGGGAATTCTGCCCTACGTACCTTATGTTACTATTACCAACCCTGGCTTGCAATTTCTGCTATCCAAAGGACTGGACTATGCCCTTGCTCCACGGTACGTCCCAAAACCTGACTTCATAATTGAAATTGAAGAGAAACTCAGACATGTGCACGATGTCACAGGGGTAAATGTCGCGAGAAGCCGCGTTGTCAGTGTTTCGAACAATGTGAAACCGGCCGGGTCAAATTTAGATCAACAAGAACGCATTGCTCTTAATGAGTTGAAGTCAGACAGCTCCATCATGATTTTAAAGGCCGACAAAGGAAAAGGAACCGTTGTGCTTGGTAGGGATGACTACATGAAGAAGATGTATGAAGTTATAAATGACAGTCGCTATTTCGTGAGGCTATCAAGAGGTCCCGCTGCTAAGTCCGGAAGAGAGTTAGCTGACCACCTTCGGGAGCTGAAAAAGAAAGGACGCATCAGTGACGACCTATACCGTCGTCTCTTCTCCTTTGACGCCGCGACACCCAAGATGTATGGACTCCCCAAAATTCACAAACCGGGTTGCCCCCTACGCCCGATTGTATATGTTTTTGGTTCATCCACTTACAGCCTTTCCAAATATCTGGTTATGATTCTGAGCCCTCTTACGGGAAACAATGAGTTTAGCGTCCGGAATTCCCATGACTTTGTTGAACTTATACGCGCTCAGACCCTGCTACCGCACGAGGCTATGGTATCCTTTGATGTGATTTCATTATTTACGAATGTCCCCAACGCCCTGGCGGTTGATGTGGCCCGTGACCGGTTGTTGGCAGACCAGTCGTTGTCCACTCGCACAACCCTCCTTGTTGATGAAGTTATACTCCTTTTGCGTTTTTGTCTCAACCAGTGTAATTTTAGTTTTAATGGGGACATATATCATCAGGTCAGCGGATGCCCTATGGGGAGTCCAGTTTCCGTAACCGTCTCGAATCTCGTCACGGAATATGTTGAGGAAAAGGTAATGTCTGGCATTGATTTCCCCGTGAAGTTCTACCGTCGCTATGTCGATGACACTTTTGTAATAGTTAACAGAGAGAACGTAACCGATTTTCACCGCAATTCGAATAGTGTCCACCCCTCAATTCAGTTCACCTGCGAACATGAAACCGATAGTACCTTGCCGTTTTTATATGTACGTGTCCACAGAACTAGTGAATCTTTTTTTAAGATGGAGACATCCGTATATGGTAAACCATGTGACAGACAAAACTTTCTTGACTACCACTCTCATCACCCTACTCAACACAAAAGCTCATTTGTAAGATCGTTGCCTTCATCGTTCAGAAACAGTCCCATCTAACTCAACACTTAGCGATCAAGAACTTAGCCATGTGCGGGAGGCTTTGAAGAAACGTAACTACCCCGACCGGTTTATCAATCGCGTTAAGAAACAAATGTCCCGTCGGCGCCCGGATCGAGCCGAACGAACACGTGACGTCGTGTGCATCCCGTACGTTAAGGGGGTTTCGGAGGCATTGGGACGCGCCCTTAGGCCGTTGGGGGTACGAACTGTATACAAACCCTACAGAACAATTGCCAATGTTAACTCCAAGCCAAAAGACCCGACCCAGCCAGAGGCAGAAAGGGTCGTGATCTACCAGGTGCAGTGCAAGGAATGTGACGCTTCCTACATTGGAGAGACGGAACGAAAAAGAAAAACAAGACTAAAAGAACACGCACAGGATGTCGCCAATTCCACGAACGCCACCCGCTTCAAGTCCGAACTCGTCGACCATGCATGGACGTCGGGACACCAATTTGACTTTGACAAGGCGAGGGATAAAAGGTGGGGACCGAGGAAGCTGCTGGAATCTTGGTTCATCCAGAACGACAAACGCGGAAGTGATTCATCGCTGGTAAACAAGAACCGTGGCCCCCTGCCGGACGTGTACACAAACTTTATGCCTAAATAGCCGAGCTTTTTTGTGCGACTCTCGCTCTGCGCTCTACTGAAGATGCCTCCCGCATGGGAGGCGAAACGTTTAATTAAAATTTTTATTTTTGTGATGTCAAGCCGTTTTTGTTATTACATTTATCATGTCTTCGCCCGGCTTCTGGAGTATTTTTGCGCTCCTAATTTTACCGGTACGACAGCCATGGAAGGCCACTGCGAGCGAGTGGGGACAGAAATCAGACTTGGACGTAGTTCAACTACTCTACTCAAACTACATTAGTTTAACTACTTTTTCGAGTAACTTGGTAACTTTCAATCACAACTTGATTTGGGTAATTAGTAGTTTAATTTAACTACTTTTTTCAGGTAACTTCTACTCAAATTACTAACTACTTTCGAAATTATATAATGCTAATTTTGCCCATCACGAAAGTTTGAGCGCAGAAATGAATAAGACGCCGGCAGATGAAGTGGCATTCTCGAACAAGGGGCCCCCTTGTTCGGGAAGGCGTCCTTGGGCCAAGGTGGCGACGAGCAGCCAAAACATAACACCGGCACGCACGAACGCAGGAAGAGTTGCTTGCTGAACAAGCCTTGGTCGGGTATTGACCTAATCCGGTAATGCACGCAAGCGCTGCGTTTCCAGCTGCAACCGTGAAAGACGGGGACACTCTGAGAGGAGTTGTTTTCGTGCTGTCTGTCTTTAGTGAGTTCTGACTCAAGCGGTAGGTTCCACGGGAGGCGCCACTGGAATGACCTCGCAGCTGGGCGCCTTGTCGTCAGCGCATACGCCTTTGCAAAGCCGGACTCTCCCGCGCACAAACCCTGGTACGGATAATCCGTTCATGGGAGCACGTTCCCGCTTACAGCTGCAACTGTATACGAGCGACGATGCTTGTTCACGTAATCCTTCGCGTCCTTCCGACCATCCATGCCTGGGAGACCTCCTCTTTGTTAACAATGATTCAGGCGAGTCAGAATGTTGTAGTCGCCGGCGAGGATTGCGAGTTACCCTTGGGAGATCCTTTTGTTGGACCCAATTTTTTTTTCAGTAGCGTAGCACTTGCACTACGACGTGACGCGCAGTCGTCCGGATGATCTCATCGTCGTGGCGCGAGACTTGAACCCTTGACGGTCTGGTGCACTCGCCCAGCGTACTCTCAGAACGACGTCGGAATGAAGAGGGGCCAGTCATAACAATCTCAACTTGACGAAGAAAAAAAAAGGAGGAAAGTTTGTTATTAAAGACCCTCTACCCGAGGCAAACCTCACAAGTTTCGTCATGGACTCCTAAGATGCCGACACTCGCTTACCCGACCCCGCACGGCCTGTTTCACAAATTCAACGCTGCCGTTCCATCCAGCCCGTCGGCGGAACGTCTATTTAGCTGGGCTGGGGACGTCTTGAGAAGGAAAAGGGGAAAACTCTCCTATCAAGAACTTTGAAAGTCAATTGCTTCTGCGAGCGAGTAAACTATTTTGGCGAAAACGCAAGCCATAAATAGACTGCATTTATTTTAGGCTCGCAGGGTTTTTCATTGATCAAAACTGCTGTTCATTTTGCTACCACAAATATATAAAAAAGTAACTTCGAAAGTAACCTCAAAGTAACTCGCTACGTTTTACAATAGTTAGTAGTTTGCTCAATTACTATTACGAATGCGTAATTTCTACTCTACTCCAATTACTTTTGGCGCCGATACTCACTAACTTAACTTAACTACCTTTTTTGAGTAATTTGTACATGTCTGACAGAAATAATGAGGCTTATCGCATGGCGACAAGCCCGAAAAACATAACCACCCCGTCCATTTCGCTCTCAAGAAAGGAGATTATCTTTCTGAGGCCCTCAATGGAAGCCGAACGCTGACAGACTAGGCAAGGCGACAAGGTCACCGGCTGAAGCGGCCTTTCCTTTTATGCGTTGTTGATTCCCCTTCGACCTCGCCTTTTGCAAATCCTCCCCACCTGCTTTTGTGTCTTCGTGTGGCTGTCAGCGAGCGCGACAGCCGCTTTAAGCAAATCAAAAGGGTGAAGCGAAACGCGTGACCCAGCGTGACCTCTCTACGTAAGACGCGTAGGACAAAAACGTTTGGACGAAAATTTTTCACGTGACTTTCTCTGTCACGCTGATGGGATCTCTGGGGCTGTCGTTTTCGCCGTTTGCCTAGTTATAGAAATAAGCGGGCCACGTAGGTCCGGTTTTCGAACTGCTCCTCAGTGTTCTGTTGCTTTCGTGCGCTGAAGACGCGACTGTGTTTTTTCGTCGTAAACGGTCGGAATACGTCCATGCCAATTTTTCGGTAACAGCCATTTTTTGCACCGGAGTTCGTGGAATACTTGTGATGTGTTTGTTGGACACGCTTCGACAAAAACTGCTCTTCGCCGACGACGAGACGTCAGTCCTCGAATCCTCGAATGTGTTTGTGGGGTGCCTGAGTTGGATTATGCATCTATCAAGGATTACATGATATCGCTCTTTTATTAGTAAGTGCACTGCAAGCATGATTCTGATAGTCGTCCTGCTTTCCTCTCAATCTCCGCGGTTTTTGTGTGATGAGTTTTGCTTGGCATGAGGACAGTGTTAATTGTATTTTATAATTTGCTTTTCGTTTTACAGAGAAGTGTGACCTTTGTAAATATGTTGAGAATACACTGTGTGCAATGATAGTTGTTTAATAAACTTCTGGGAGCGATCGAAAAAAATTTGTTTGTCCGTATAAGTGATTGGATATGCAAAAAATGACATGCAACGTACATATACTTGCACGACGTTCGGCCAATACGAAGCAGACGCATCGTAGAGTTTTCGCACAATATTGCGCGAACGCTAGGTTGGGGCGAAACAGCTGTACGGCAACACCCGCCGGGTATCAACCGGTGGTACAAAACTGGACAGTTGAGCGATATTGGAACCGACTTTCGGCCGGCACTGGCACGATACTGCAAAGTATTGCCGTGCTGCTTGGGAACGGAGGTGATGACATCTTACCATCGTGTTTCCAACGCTTGTTTAATTTATTTCTCTTCTGGGACGCGTGAAAGAGCACTTCTGTGACACACCAGAGATATTCGAAACTTGGGATGGCCTCTCGGCTTTCTTTGCCAGGCACTTATTTGGCACTTCAGTGGGTAGCCAGAGAAAAGCCAAACTTCGGCATGCCCCGAATCGACAAATTAAGATTTACTGCGGCAGTTATGGCTCAAGTCTGGCACTTACTTTGGCGCTCCTCTGGCAGACCAGAGAAACGCCAAACCTTGGCACGTCCCAAATACCGAAATTAGGCGTTGCTCTGGCAGCTATGGCTGAAGTATGGCACCAACTTTGGCGCTCCTCTGGCGGACCCGAGAAAAGCCAAACCTTGGCACGTCCCAAATACCGAAATTAGGCGTTACTCTGGCAGCTATGGCTGAAGTATGGCACCAAATTTGGTGCTCCTCTGGCGGACCCAAGAAAAGCCAAACTTTGGCACGTCCCAAATACCGAAATTAGGCGTTACCCTGGCAGCTATGGCTGAAGTATGGCACCAACTTTGGCGCTCCTCTGGCGGACCAGAGAAACGCCAAATCTTGGCACGTCCCAAATACCAAAGTTAGGCGTTGCTCTGGCAGTTATGGCTCAAGTCTGGCACCAACTTTGGCGCTCCTCTGGCGGACCCGAGAAAAGCCAAACTTTGGCACGTCCCAAATACCGAAATTAGGCGTTACTCTGGCAGCTATGGCTGAAGTATGGCACCAACTTTGGCGCTCCTCTGGCGGACCAGAGAAACGCCAAACCTTGGCACGTCCCAAATACCGAAATTAGGCGTTACTCTGGCAGTTATGGCTGAAGTATGGCACCAACTTTGGCGCTCCTCTGGCGGACCAGAGAAACGCCAAACCTTGGCATGCCTCGCATTCCCAGATTAGGATTTACTATGGCAGTTATGGCTCAAGTATGGCACCAACTTTGGCACTCCTCTGGCGTACCAGAGAAGAGCCAAACTTTGGCATGCCCTAGGATCGCCCAACTTAGGCTATACTTAGGCACCGTACTTTGGCACTGATGAGTGCCATGGTGCAAAAACCTAACTGCGCCAAAGTTGGGCCCTTATGTTTGCCAGACCTTTGCCCAAGTTGGGCATTCCTCTGGCGTGCTACCTGGGATGTCACTCAACGAAAGAACATGAACCGTTGCTGAAGGCGATGAAAAGAATGTAAAGGTAAAATAGGAAGAAAGATAGTCAGTTACTCTCATTGCCCCCTCCGTGGTATAGATAATTGATACTCTCGTAGTGCAGAAACCCTGCACACTACGCAACATGATGCAGTCGACGCATGGTCGTGACCTTCGACATTTCACTTTTATTGAATGCCAATCGACGAGGCAATAACGAGACCGCATGCAACTGTACAAAGTCCCATCGCGAGGCTTTCCGAACCACGTCGACACGGCGCTCCACGAAGGCTACAGACCCAAAACAAATCAAACTTGCCAACACAAAAGACGTGCCCTGCAAAGAGCAAAAAACCACGCTTTGCGATTACATTATATACTATATATATATATGTATATGTCGGAGTGGTGGCGGATGACAAGGGCTAACTGTGCATAAGCTACATGGGTCGTCGACGATCGAAAAAATATAGGCAGAAACCGACTATGATACTTTGAAAAAATGCTAGTGGTGTTACTACGCTCCCCCGTCTTCAGGCGACGCCGCCTCACGGGTCGTTGGCGAGGTGTCGCCCGCAGTCTGCTTGAGCAATTGATTCGTTTCGTCCCGCGGAAAGCGGAGGGAGATTATCTGCGGCGCTAGGGCAAAAGGTAGCAGCGGCTCAAGGCCCCTGAGGTCGTGCTGCCAAGATCCGTTCTCTGGAACGGAACGCCTCGACAAGAGTCCACGCGGCATGCCGCCACGACCGGACGACCGGGGAGAACTGTCGGTGGGCGTTCTGCAGTTAAAAGCGTGGCCGTCGTGTGCCACTCTGGAGAAACCGGTTGCGCCTGGCCGCCCGGATACGACGCACCACCGAAAACGAGCGCGAGCACCACTTTAAAAACGCGACGCGACACCACCAACCTCGTTCACCGCATGATGGCAACGTCCCCGGAGAAGAATAGAGGCTCTAGTGGCTGTCACTGTTGCGGCAGTCACTGTTGCAGCAGTCACTTCAAATAAACCAAACTTCACAAAAAAAAAGGAGTTGGTTTAGAGTAGTATGACATTTGTACCAGTGTCTTGCTTCAGAACGCCGTTGGTGTAAAAACCGAACGGATCCAGGCGTTAGAAGAGGGTGTCCACTCAGGACACCACGTGCACCCCTCCCTCCCAGTCGTCACTTCATTGTAGGCAGCCATTTTGGGTCACCCACTCCCCCAAAAAGCGATGATCCAGCACGAAGAATCTGCACCACCGTGCCAATGCAACAAAAAAAAGAAAAGAAAAAAAAAAACGATTGAATCCACTCACTCGAAAAATGCACCATAAAAAAAAAAAAAGTAAAAGTAAAACGATGAATAAATTCATGCTTAGTCAGCAGAAGTTATGAGAATGGCAGGCAGAGTCTTCAAAACGACAGGCATGCTTTCCGAGCTGTCCCCACGCCGGCGTCGGCCATCTTGATGCACCCAATATCCGAAGCAGGCACGCCAGCATCGGCACGCCGCTCCGGGAAACGGCACAGTCGTTGCCACTTTGCGCAGTAACCACGCAGCCGCAAGGACGAAGAGCCGTCGAGATGGTGTCTGTCCGCATGCAATCGAAGCACTAGCTACGTGGTGCAAAAGAGTCGACGCGCGTCTTGGGTGGGACGTCCTCCCATCGCCCTCGTTCACAGGGCGTTGTTGTGAAGCTGCTGGGACTTGTGAACCGCGCCGGCGGCCATGTTTGGGCTTGGTCTGATCAGGGGAGGGGGCTGCTGCAGGATGGACCAACTGCCTGACCTGCAAACGGACGGCAACGACCATTTGTCCGGGGTGCTCCAACAGAGCGCTTAGAGCAAATTTCGCAACTGACATAAAATAAAATTCAGTCAAAAGGAGTGCCCTCTTGTTTGACGAAATAAGATCTGCTAGTATACTAGCAAAGCGTCGGAGCGCTGGGGCATGTCACGCAGAACTGGTGCAACTTTGGGTGATTGCAAGACATTATGCGTCTGCTACACTCTTTTGGGGACATTTCCTCTGTGAAATCCTATCCCTAAGCACGTTATCTGTCAAAATAAATTAGTCTCTATTACGGAGAAGTCCCACGGTGCAAGCAGGCCGCACATTCGCTGCCCCAAGAGCAAGCTCTTGGTCCGCAGCTACGGTGCTTGCCGCACGTCTCCACAAGACAGTGCCCGAGACTATTGGGGACGAGATCAGACTGTGGCGCCCCAAGCGGTCAACTTTAGACTTTAGTCTTAACTTTAGACCAACTTGGAACACCACCGACTAGCCCACCTCCAAACATTATTACATGGATGGGGACAGCAAATAACAATGACTCGCTGCTCGGCTGACGTAACCGAACGCCGCGTCGGCATTCGACTGGAGTTCGTGTTCTCCGGTTGCCCGAGGCGAGGAGGGGCTCTTCTGTTACCGCTCTGGCCTGCATGAACAATGCAGCATGCACGGTGCATACACCCAGCTCAGCACAAAAGCCGAAATGGGTCAGGCTCGCGTTCTCCGACGACTGCTTTCGGGAGAGATCCGGCACTAACAATAATCGTCACTTTATTTACTGTTAGTATTTCTATGTTTCACTGTGCCCACAGACCTTCTGTTGGGTAAACAAAAAGGTGTGGGGACAACAAACGAGTCGGATCTGATTGCCAATAATCATAATGTTTGAGAATTTTCGAGTGCTCTTAGAAATTCTAGGGTTTTTGAAGACCTAAAAGCGGCATCTTCAAATTCGAGGTTTTCCGAGGATGTTCGAGGACCCGCGTAAACCCAGATTCCCCACCTGGGTCCCTGCTGGAGGGGGGCGGGGCTGGCCTTGGCATGCTGAGAGGGGGACCCGGGGGGCGGTCTCAGCAGGGGCGGGGGGTTGCCCGCCGCCCCATTGGCCGCGGGGGTCCCGTTGCTGCCGTGCAGCGAAGACGCCAGGGGGGACCCCGGACGGCTGCCGTCGCCGACCCCTGCCTCCTTGGCGGCCGCAGACTCCGCGTCCGCTCCCAGGGACGACGGCTGCACGGAGAGAAAGCGGTCGTTAGTAAAAGCTTCGGTGACGCAGGAGAAAATATGGCACCGTGGCTTTGTTATCTGGAATGTGTTAAACAAGGCCCGGTTGCGGACGACTGTCTCTTGGCCACATGTGCTTCAAAAACCTTGCCACCAGTGAATGCCATCAAAGGCCGGAAGAAACGCTTCCAAACCCCACGCACCTTGTCGTCTGTGCTGGTGATGCCGTGCTCGGCCTCAAACTCCTGCAGCACCGCATCCAGGTTGTAGCGGCGGCGGTAGTTGACGAAGAAGCTGCGCACGTGGGCCTCCGTCTTGTTGCCGATCACCTCCGCTATCGCCTTGAAGTCGCGCCCATACTTGCGGATCCCTGCAACGACACGTCCCTTGCCGTTGGATCTTAGCCATCCACCTTTTTCAAAGCATCTCTCGCGTACATCCACAATTAATTACGCGCATCGTACACAGTGCTTACTCATACATACGAGCATCTTGTACAGATTGTGGATTAAATGAGCGCCATTCTCGTTAGGTTGTGCAGCAATTTGTACACACTTTTCATGCGTTTCCCACTCTCGTCTGCTTTGTATCATCCTCTACGTCATGGCGCCACGTGATTTCACGAGGGCACTTGTCTCCCCTGCTTCCTAATTCTTGCTGGGTGATCAGATAGAGCGAAGTCGCCTCTTGACCTCCGTTTGCAATCCTGGCCAACAGTGGCGCTTTGGCACCTTCTGGCGGTGGCTAAAAAAACCTTCTTGCCAATCGGTTATAAAAGGCGGCGCACCAGGAGACGCAAATCTTTCTCTCTTTCTCTCTCCCCCCCTTCCTCCTTTCTCCCTTGACATCGGCGTAGGACTTGGTCAAGTGCAAGGTCGCGCAAGTATAATGTTTCAACGGCTGACGTCACGGGCATGACAAGCATGGCCCATGGGTCAGGCCTAGGTCTTTGTGGACCACGTGGCACGGGACGCTTGTACCGTTGCCGTAGTTGGCCCATGCATTATCGATAGGCATGGCTGGTCTTGCGTTTGTGGAAGGTTCAATAGAAAGGCACGACCGCTCTTCGGCTGTTCCACGCACTTCTCGTATGCTCTGGACAGATAGACCACGGACGGGCCCGGTCTGGTCTGCTTGGTCGTGGAACACGTGGGAGCCGACTTGCCGGCGGGTGTACGTGGAATTCCCACAATTTGCGTTGTGGGTCGTACATTTGTTATTGTCTGTATTGCACACCCTTGTGCAGGTCGTGGGTTGAAATCGAAATGTGCGCCTTTCTTGTTCGGACCAGCATGTTTCCAACACGGAAACGTATCGGCAACAACAAGACTTAAGATTACGAAAAAACTGAGCAGTCCTCTGTTAATCCAGATAGCTGCGACAAGTCACACGAAGTCACTGGGCATCGGCGCGTGTTTCTGCACCGTGAGGTGCTTGAACAAAAGCGTTTGGAACAAAATAGACATCTGATCGTTTTGTTCCAAACGCTTTTGTTTCTTTCTTGTTTCGGAACGCGTGAAAGCACTTTCCAGTGGTAGGAAGATAACAGCCATCACTGTAAAACAACAAGAACAACAACAACGGACGGCCCACCTTGAACAGCGATGAGCAGTTCGTCGTTGGTCCATCTGGCATTCACCCGTCCATTGCCCTAGAAGAAGAAAAGTCAAGCAGATGGTTAAGTCCAATGATAGCAGGATAACGTTTCGAGTTACAAAAAAGAATGTTTGCTACATGGTATATTGCCTTCGTCATCTTTTGGTCAAGCTTTAGACTGATTTTCAGAGTAACACAAATCGTGGAATACAGAAGAGGCCATATTTTACGGGATGTACCCTACAGACGATTGCAAGCAAGGTGACTGGTCGCCGCCACGTCTGCTCGTGCGGACAACTCTGTGCAAGTGCGAGCTTGCCAAGGCTATGTTCATGAGTAAACTGCACGTGCTTGCAATTGTCTATACAGGGTAGCCAACTGAACACTCTCAAGAGCTTTCTGCAAAAACCGTACATTGCGCAGGAAAAAGATAGATTCCCTGTTAGCAACTGCGAAGAGGTCCACTTAGTAAGGTACATACAGTCGCCGACCGATTTTTCGGACTTTGTGGGGGCTGAAAAAGCGTCTGAATAATAAAGGAACAAGAAAAATCTGCAGACTACAAAACTTGGCTTTCTCGAGCCTAAGCGGGCTTCAAAAAGTCGCTAGGAGTGCCTTGCGACATGTTACGCTTGCATTCGCGTCAACGTCATGTCCTCACCTGGCAGAGTTGCAAGAAGAGGCCATGAGGGCCAAAGCACGTATCGACGCAGGGCAAAATGACGAAACCGCGAGACATTTAGGTGCGAAGTTTAGAAGCTGTCAACAGCGCACTCCACACCCAAGAAGTGGAGACTGGCACAATAACGGAACAAAATGTTGGTAGGAGATGGAAAATCAAGAAAGAAACCAAGACGATGATGATGATGATGCGCAGCAAAAACAAAATGCATAGCAAAGCACTCCTAGCGGCTGGTTCGGCAGCGCTAAAATAGCGCTGCCAAACCGATGCCATCCATCTGAAACATCGAGCCAAGCCCACGGTCAAGCCAGCGAAAAATCCAAGATGGCAGCCTCTCGGCGGCCGCCACTCGGAACCATTTTAGCCCGAAAAATCAAACTTTCGAACTGCGAATGAACTGTTAGGAAAATTGGTTTTTAACATGTACTATTTTAATTGGGTGAGTCACAGCTCCTAGCAGATGTCCGAAATAACGAGAAAGTCTGAATTTTCGGTGTCCGAACAATCAGTCAGGGAATGTAGAATTTCCGAGCATTAAACTTTTAAAAGTTTTTCGTAATTAAGTTTCCAATTATAAAATTAAAGGCATACATACACCAATTGGGTAGAAACTTGCTGGCATCATTGAAAACCACTCAATCAAGAAACTTTAAGGATATCTAAGGCACATACAGCATTCCACGACGTACCAAATGCGGCAACTGTTTGCTAAAGGAGCACACTTCTTTGTGTTTTATGTTCTTCCCATTTATTTATATTAGCAAACAGTTGCGGCATTCGGGGCACTGTAGAATGCTGTATGCAGCTTAAGCATTTTTAAACTTAACCCAGGAAGCTCCTTCTTATAACATCTAACTTTATTAGTTAAACAGTTAATTCTATAAAACAAACTGCTACTCTTATAACATCCAACTTTATTAGTTAAGCAGTTAATTCTATAAAAGAAACTAAAATGATGCTGACATTTTGCTTCAAGGAAAACGGACTTCACTGCACAGTGAAGGCAAATCTATAACACCTTCATTCATGAGTGCGAAGAACTCATACTTTTAAAGTCCTGAATACACGTGCAAGCAAACTGATGAGCGTAAGAATGCAGGCAAGACAAGCACAAATTAAGACCCAAGTCCAGGTTCACTAATGCCCCTGCAGAAAGTTGTGCTGCAGTATGTACAGTACCATACAATGGGCTGTAAAATAAAATACAGTACCACACAATGCAATCTAGTATCGTACGGTGAGAGCTCACCTCGGCAGGCCGCAGGTTTTCGATTCCCATGGAAGTCTTGTGTCTCAGCTGGCTGATCATCTGCTTGTTATTCTGCACCTGCACGGGAGACGAGACCAAACGTTGGCCACAACTGCGGAGGGGCGTCACGCACACGCACCGGAACAGCCGCCGGGCAAACCAAACCGAAGATCCGCGTTGCACCACTAATTGGACACTTTTTCTCGGTTGTGCGCTGGAACCACTGGCTTCTTGGGCCCTACAAGCCGAAATACCAAACCCTGCACGTACCAGGAGGCCACAAGACCAAGCAGCTGCTGGAGTGTACCCAGAGTAATCTAGTACGGAAAGGAGGATTGCTGGAAAGTTTGCAGCGTCATGTCGCGACACATTTTCACGAGGAAAACGGAGAAAGTGAACAGGCTTTGATTACGGTCTGTCGCCGCGTAGGCTGTCGCCAGACTTAAACGTTTTAGATGAGTGCATTCATCAATTCATCCATGCTTCTTTGTCACACAGTTCGTAAAGTATAGCGGTGTTATCATTAAAAGGGTGTCGCCTTAATGCATCGTTTATTGGGAGGAGGCTAACTGTTTAAAAACACCAGCTAGGTTGCGCAACCTGCCACCCGATTGAAAGGGTTCAGCCGTGTGCATCCATCCATCCGTGCACCACACTTACCTCTCTTCCATCACACGGATCATAACGTTTACCAGTGTTGCCATTAACCCTTTGACGGCGGAGATTTTTCCCAAAAGACGTTCCCCAGTGGTCGGGTTTTTGTTTCTACAGGAACAGTCTAAAGGAAGCGAGGATGCAGAAGCCTTTATCTAGCAGGAGCTTGTACAGTGCTTACAAGCTATTCAGGCTGGGAAGAATCAAATGAAAATATTGAAGGAAAAAAGTTGTTACCTCTCTTCCCATTCTAATTTCTGTTTCATTTTGGCACATTCCTTGACATTCTCGTGGTTTCAGATTCTGAACCAGACGCACTTTAGACAGCTTCTCCATCAAATGGGAAGCTGCCATCGTCTGAATTAATTTCTAAGAAGCGCTAAAGGCCCGTTCCCACTCTTGCAACTGAGTACGACCGAAAGAGACTGGACTTGTTGAAACCTCGTAAAATTTCTTAGGACGAGAGAACACACTGTCACGCTGGCGCCATCTATGCGGTGACTCTGGAACTCCATTTCCCAAGAGCGAAGGTTTTGCAAAATTTCCGAGGGCAAATGTGCGTAATACCTACAAGAAAGGCTCGTTTATAACATTGACAAAAGTTTTTTGAGCCAAGAAAGAAAGGATAATGCGCGAGAGATATAGAAAATATGCTGGGTGGAAACATGTTATTCGGCTCATTTGTTCTCCTCTCCCATATTTATTTAAACGAACCATGAAACAATTTTGAAATCGAATTTCATCCACCGACCGTCGTAAAAGGTGTGAAAAGAAACACAAAAACACAAAAATAGGGAGCCAAAAAAAACTTTTCGCTATAGAACATTAAAAAGAAAACTGGACTCTTTTGCGCCTTCTTTCCTTCGAAAGCTCTCTGCCTTTTCACTGCAATGCATCCGCGGAATCGCAGCACGTCAGCCGAATCCACGTCGCCTATTGGGTAAGAGCATACCTCACCAGCACCGCGATCGTAAACAATAAATAGCCGGCGAATGTTTCCTAAAAGTTTTGTTAATTAATATTCAGATCCACATTTTATAACATAATTAGAGATGTGATGAAAATTGCCAAATTTGATAATGCTGAGAGCCAAGCGTCATCTATCGTGTGGTAAACGAAGCAACTACACTAGGGCCGACCACAGTGGGGCCGAAAGCGTCGCTCAGTTGCTTTGTCGCAACGACCAACGAATATTTATTTTTCTACGTGTTCTTCCCAATTTCAAGCAGCAAGAGAAAAGTACTTGAAACAGACCACGACGAACAAGAACGCTGGATCCACAAACACCCGACAAAATCTACAACGGCGACGAATCTACCGACGCCAACCAAGCGAGCTTGGCAGATAGGCCTAGCAGGCACTCCGACTCGGCGCAGCGTTGCTTCGACGGTATTTGGCCAAAACCGTCTGCCTCCGACCGGCTGGCGTGCTGGATGGAATATTCCCGCGCGACCCTTGTGGACCCTTACCGGATGAGTAGTTTGATCGCTGACCTCAATTTTAGATTAAGAGGTGAGGTCAATCTCTTCCCCTTGTTTTCTGAGGCAGTGTTGACGAACACTCGTCGAAAAGGGACTCTCGTCGATTCTATCTTGTTGTTTTTGTGTGATATAGAGCTAAAAAAAATGCCGTATGGATTACCTTCGTAACAAGGTATGTACACTTCGTTATTAGTATGCCATTTTTATTCTGACACGACTACACGTCACTGTCGAGCTATAACAGTTCGTGGGGGCTACGTGCAATGCCGGTCCAACCTTCCTTTGCAGAGTGTCACGTCAGTATCGAGTTGCAATCGTAAAAGATCGGTCCCGAAGCGTTTACCAACAGCGCGAATACAGCACTTCCATCAAACGCGCGCGTCCGCTCCGAGTGTCAACAGGTATTTACGTGGCTCTTGCTGACACTGTCGTAGTTCAAACGTATCTTTTTTTAACGTCAACTCGCTCCTGCATCTCCGAGGCCGCGAAGAACGCCGCGGCAATTTGTTTCCATCTACGTCGCTTTGCAAACGACTGACATGGGCCGCCTTTTACCAGCAATGACAGTTGGGTTGACTTCTGGAGTCTTCACCGGAAGACTCGCTGCACTTCCCAACAGGCATACCGGCTTATGGGACTAGTCCCATGCTGTCGCTGTAGCGCAACATATCTCATTGAATTTCGCTCAGCTGCGATGTGTCCATGGCTATTGCGGCGATGAGAGGCGCCGATTCAGGAAATACGTCGGCGACATCAGCGCAGTAAAACCTACCGGCACAACCCCCAACTTGCCGCCGCTAACGCTCCCATTCTCCTACAGCCGAGAGAACTTCCGGTTCCTGTGCCAGGGTACGTCACGACCGTCAAAATTACGCCGCAACTTGTTTTGTGGTCAGTTAGAGAGAAAGAAAAAGTCGATATTTCATTAATTTTTTTGTGTCAAAGTTAATAAACTTAAACGAAAACGGATGCCTGTTCGGCATTCAGTGAACATTGACGGTTTAATGTAAAAGTTATCTGGCGAAAGTTAAAACGTCATTTCATGGTCCCTTTAATAGCCTTGACAAATTGATGCATGCTGATGAACTTAAGGGAATAAAGAAAAGCAACATGAGCAAGAATGCTGTGTCCTGTCCTCGTCCTTTTTGCCGTTCAAGTTGTTTTCCTTTATCCTCGTATAAGTAGCCTCGGCAAAGTGAAACACCTTGCAAATATAACATTTATAGCTTGCCAGAGACAACAAATAGCAACACCTCCTGCGGTGTTCCCGGTTTAGCGTTTAGGCGGGCATTTCCAAATGTGCAACAGCCATCGTAAATGCACGGCGACAACCGTAGTTTAGAAGTACAAATATTCGAGTTTTGAATTGAAATCGAATAATGATTACTTGAATATATTTAGTTGATCTTCAGATTCCCAGTAGACACTGTATAATGAATAAAAGAGCTTATACTCAGATCGCTTTTATGCACAGAATGATGTCCACGGCATCATCTTGCTGTCATCAGGTGTGTTGCCATAGCTGTCGACGTACACCACCGTAGTTCCGGGCCAGCTGGCATAGGACGTCGCCCGATTCAATTGGATCGATTCTATCAGTCTGTTCACCCAGCACACTGCGTATCCACGGGACGATGAGTGGGAGCATCCGATAGCTATTAAGCCTATTAACACCGTTTGCACTCGTGCTAGTCCATCCTTGTTCCACGTGCCCCGCAGAAAAATAAACAATAGGACTTTTTTCTCACTAAAACATTTTTCTTTTTAGCCCCGTGAACATTGCGAGAAGAAAGTCTTTGATATTCATATTCAATTTGGTATTTGACTTCTTTTGGCCCCTGTTCGATTCAATTCAAGTTGAAGTACCACCATTCGCACACCCTTAGTTACAAGTCTTCACCCTAATGCTCTGTTTGCTAGGTATGGGTAAACACCTGCCAGGTAGTGCAAGCTGGCACCCCATTTCAGGGGTTCAACCGCGTTCATCCGTCCGCACCTGTCTCTTGAGGGCGACCAGCTCCGAGTCCATGGCCCTGAGGATGGCGTCCCCCTGGCCAGAGGGCCCCGTGGCCATGGCCACCAGGTCCTCGTACTGCAGGCACATGCCCCGGGGAGGACGCCGCTTGTTGCCCCTGGCCAGGTGGCGCGAGGGGGCTTCGTGCTTGCCCCGCAGCAGGCCCCCGCCCACGCCCCCCAGGGGGCCCCCCTTGGACAACCCCGTGCGCCTGGAGGGAGGAGGCACGCACAGGGTTGAAGGAAGCGTCGAACCATGTCGCTGCTCTTCGCTTCGGCTAACCCGTGCTCGACACAGACACTCCACATTCGTCAAACTTCCGTTTTACACGCGCCGGACTTTTTCTTACAAAAAAGAGTACCTACTTGGGAGAACACGATAGGAACAGCAGCTACAAAAAAAGGAGGACCGCGGAAGGAACACACTGCGACAGGACGACAGCTGTTGTCCTGCTGCAAGTGCTCCTTTCGTAGTCCTCGTTTCTTTGTAGCTGTTACTCCTATCATGTGAAACTATTACCAACTTGCCCAGTTCAACACTCTCATCCAGTACTTAGGAGGGTCACCTTCTCTTTTAATACAGAATGTGTTATAGGGCTCGGTTTCTTGAGAAAAGCGGCACACTCCACTTGACCGACACACAGGCCAAGGTCCTATAAGCAATAGAGCCCCGTAGGGGCTCTACTGCTTATATGACCTTGACGATAAGCTGTCACCTGATAGACTAAAATCCTAGAGTCTAGAGTCTCAAACACGGCTGTGCTTGAGACTTACGTGTCGTGTCGTCCCTCGTTCTCTGTAGTCTCGGAATTTTAGCCCATGTCCAACCATTACCAGCGCTTGCTTGCACCTTAACGTTTTGTCACGTGGCGCAGAAGTCACGCGACACCCCGACGAGCAACGTCGCGTGGCGAGTACAGTAAGCAAGAAAAGGGAGACAGACTCACTTCCAGTACTGGTAGCAGCTGCTGCAGAGGTTACCCTTGCTGGAGGAGTACACCTGGCTGGACGGAGCATTGCAGTTGGAGCAGGGCCCCTTGCCCATGCTCTCTTCCTTCTGCACGCAACAATCCATCATATACGTGAGATAACAAAGGCATTGCGCAGGTCATTTAGCCGTGTACAGTTCGAGACGAAAACGCACCCAAATTTTACCCGCACATCCCCGTAAACGACATACTCACGTTTTCGGCGTTGTCCACTTCCATGTCACTCTCGTTTTCAGAGCCGGCCTCGGAGCCACCGTCGCTGTCAAAACGAAGCAGACGGCATTAGACCGACTTCACAAAACGGGACAACCGGACATTTGTCAAACCCAAGTCATTACCGTGATTAAAGATTAAAACAGTGCAAGGACACGGACAAGAACAAGAAGGTAGACAAACAAGGCGCTGACTTACAACTGAAGTTTATTCGTTCTAACAGCGAGTATAAATACTGTATTGTCACAACAAACAAACATGAATAAAAAGCTTGACCTGGATGCCACGTGCTCACTAGCCATCGCTATGCACTGTCACTGTTTGTCTAAATAGGAACGTTCCTTATCTGATAAAGATAGTGACGGAAAGCTGACACAGCTTTGCCCCAATCTTCCAATTTCCGCGCCTCAATGATTTCCCGAGTGAGTTTGTCTTTATTTTTCCTAATCACTTCACATTTCTCAAAGACGGGAGCGCAGCAACAGTCTCGGCAGTGTAGGCCAAGGTGACCTGACACAACTCTAAACACGTTATACTTGTGCTCCCGCAGCCGATCATTGAGGCATCGCCCCGTTTGCCCGACGTATCTCCTGCCACACGAGCACAAGTATAACGTGTTTAGAGTTGTGTCAGGTCACCTTGGCCTACACTGCTGAGACTGTTGCTGCGCTCCCGTCTTTGACAAATGTGAAGTGATTAGGAAAAATAAAGACAAACTCACTCGGGAAATCATTCAGGCGCGGGAAATGGGAAGATTGGGGCAAAACTGTGTGAGCATTCCGTCACTATCTTTATCAGATAAGGAACGTTCCTATTTAGACAAACAGTGACAGTGCATAGCGATGGCTAGTGAGCACGTGGCATCCATGTCAAGCTTTTTATTCATGTTTGTTTGTTGTGACAATACAGTATTTATACTCGCTGTTAGAACGAATAAACTTCAGTTGTAAGTCAGCGCCTTGTTTGTCTACCTTCTTGTTCTTGTCCGTGTCCTTGCGCTGTTTTAATCTTTAATCATGAAATACCAACTAGCCCATACTTCTACTTCAATCATTACCGTGACCCAGGTACGACAGCTTCGAAGGCCTTCAAATAGGCAAGCATTTTTTGCACAGTGCCCATCATTCTAAAGATGGCAGGATCTCTTCCGAGTGGGTCTCCGAGGTACAGGGACAAAAACCTCTCATTTGTCTCAGAGGACTCAAGGAAACATTTTGGAAAATTGCACTTGTCCGGAAGTTGCACCTCAAGGGACCCAACTGGGTTCGTTGCTAGGCAACAGAGGTTTTTAGGCAGGTTTGGAAAACGCAATACATAATGCAGCTCGGGTGTGATTAAACAGTGCAACAGCCCCAGAAAGCTTGTCCCGGAACGGTTAGAAAGACTGTCGGAACCGAACAACCGGCTATAACATTAGCTTGTGCCAATCCCTTCATTCTTCATCCTGCATCTCTCGATCAGTCAATGCCGACGCTTGCGGAAGAAGAAAAAGCAGGACGAGGCGAGAGAGTTGGACCCACCTGCCCTCCTCCCTGGCTCCGGCAAGCTTGCGAGCCTGCCGATCCATGAGGCTAGTGCGCGTCCGAGTCTTCTTCCAGGAGTAGTAGTACTTCACCAGACTCGGAATGGTCTTGTCCGGCAGCTGCCGCAAGAGGAAGAGAGAAGACATGTTCCGACCCGATCCAGTGTTCTTGGCACACTTTTGTGGGACCGACAGTGAAGAGCCCTTGTAATTAACCAGCAAAATCTATAAAAGTAAACGCCCCCATCCCCTTTCTAATTTTATGACTAGACATAGTGAGAAAACACACTAGTAGTATTAACCTGGTCTAATGGCAAGTATATAGGCGAGATGGGAAGCTAGACCTTTAACCGGTGACCAGAGTCACAGAAAGAATTGAAACACAAAACAAGAGCCCCATTTTAAAGCTAGTTTTGTGCTTGCTCCCTGCTCACATTCTGTACCCTCGGAGCAAAAATTCATAATTACAACTTGTCCCTGACAATGGGACTTGAAGGCAGCAAGTTCTGTGGTGGAACACTGACTATGCTTCCGAGGCCTCCCTGGTGGTCCCTCATCAAGCACCCCTCACCATCTGTCGGATCTTGTGGAAGTTCTTGCCGTGGAACTGGAAGGCCTGCTCGAAGAGCACCTTGTCCTCCACTGTCCACTCGTCCGGAAACGGAGTAAAGTTGGCCAGGTCTGCCACCGCCTTCTCAAGATCGTACTTGTGCCAGAACAGCATGCCCAATGCCTGCATATCCACAAGATATTGCCACACAAGAAGCCTTCTTCCCTCAATGTATTCATTACACTCTACAGGTGTTCAAAGTGTGTTCCCAAGAACCCTGCATGGTTTCCAAAGCAGCCCCAGGAGCACTCCAAGTATCCACAGGGACACCTCAAGCATCCTATGGAAGAAAAACCTTTTTTCTTTGGTACAGCTTAAGCATGGCCGAGACGAGCAATGCTAAAAGCTAAACCAGGTTTTTTTTAAAACTTTTAGACCACAAGGATTCTCCAATAACCTCGGACACCTGCCAAAAGAACCCCTCATTCCACTCTTTGCTATCTCTTTCCTCTTCTTTTGGAGAACTCAGGCAGCACATTATATTTCGGGAAGTGTTCTGTTCCACAGCTAGTATATTATTGTTTAGGCTGTGATCTGAATGTGGAGGACGGTCCAACAATAGCACAAGACATGGAGAGTTTAGACGTCCCAACCCACCTGTTCAGCATTGTAGCCATACTTCTCCTTGGCAAGAGTGATGTACTCATCCACTGCAGAACCAATAAGCACGTCTTAGCCACATATTAAAAGGCAGATGGCAAGGTGATTTAGTGTGTCATGTTTTAGAGGCAGGCAAACTTACACTTCATGTCTGAGATGTCTGAACATGGTGACCACACCAGGAGGGCCCTCTCCGGTGTGAACTCTGGGCATGGCTCTGAAGAGAATCAACCGAGGAAAAAGTGATTTACTTTGTGAGTTCCAACACTCTGCACACTACAACAACATCTCTCCGAAGACCTCCTTTCAGTCGAGACAAGTACACAGGTTTGTGCCACAGTGTCTTTCTTCGGGAGCCTCTAGTCAGCAGCAAATAGTAACTACAAGTACCACAGACTGAGTGCTAAGGTGACACTGCCAGGAACAGTTGTCTCAAGGAACACTGCGAATGGTTTATGGCACACAGAGTAAGAGCCCTTTTCGCAAATACGAATGTGACACGTGCTACAGTGATATGCAGACACTTCATATGCCAAATGTTTGCCTGTTGTTGTTTATGGCCAACGTACCAAGCAACACCATCTGTCGATTAGTCCACAGTAAATAGCACAAGCACACTTTCCTCAGGCACGTGGCTTGCACATAGCCAAAAGTGGGGGACAAGAGGAAACGATGTGTGTAATTTACTTGCTAGTTCTACGATGGCCTGCAGGCAATGTCACTGATGTGATTTGCAGCAGCTATGGTCAGGGGCTTGCTGATATAGACAGCTTTCTCTCCAAAAAAAACTGTACTAGAAGACAGCTTGTTGACTTTAACCGGAAGCATGGCGCAACACCAGTCTTCGGAGCTGAAGCACCACACCTCAACAGAAGGTACCTGCCGCGGTCTCACAAAGCAGATGGCATAAACAGTTATGGCTGCCTTTCAAGGAAGCAATTAGCAAAGATGGCTGCCACTAAAGATTGTGCACATTTTTCGGTGTGTTTGCAACGTCTGGTGATGGAAACGTAAGGGTGGTCCCAACCCAGCCTTCGTCTTACCCGTGGCAGAAATGATGTCGGGGACAGAGGCCTGGTAGTCATTTCCAACGCGCATCCCGTGGTCTGGAACAAAGTTGACAAGCTTTTGTTTTCTTGCTATGTTAGTGCAATTTGGGACAAAGACTGTAGTCATTAAACAATAATAAACCCATTGTGGATATGTCTTTAACCACAAAAAAAAAAAAAAAAAAAAATTACCGCCATGCGCGATTCTATTTGCCAGTTATGCTTCGTGAAAAAACATAAAAGCAAACATGAAAAAAAGTAACCTTCGAAATACGCTTCGTCTGCTTCGGTAAGAAACAACTTTTAAAGATTCTTATTGACATGGAAACGGTCATGGGATCGCAACTGGCGTAAAAGCTACAGACCGTCACACAAGGCGACAGCGAGAGGGGTGAGATCCATCGTCGATCCAGCACGAAATGAGAGAACACTATTCTGAACTGACAACAGTCTAATCGGCGGGTTAGGCAAAACGCACAGCGCGAGCTCCGTGCCACGGACAAAAAACAAAACAAAAAAAAAATCACCCGCTCCGTTTTCTTGCAGCAAATGCTGTTGAAAATACGAAGGTTCAGTTGCAGTCACTCGCATAGTGCGCGTCTCAATAAAAAGAAGGAACTCGAGTTCAAACGGCTCTTTTTAGCGCGTTTGCACGGAATTGAGCGATGCGCGACGAAAGACGGGGAAAAAAAGACGAAGAGTGTTCGGTGCAATGCGCGGATCGCGAGTTTGCGACTTCTCTCACCGTGCTCTGAATCATCGGTAGCGCTTCCGTCGTCGGTCAAATGCCCGTTTGGGCTCGCGGTGCGGGATCGCCGCCCGATCCTGGAGTCGTCGTGACGGTCCGCGAGCACCATTTCGCTTCCAGTTCAGATCGGACGCCGAAAAGGAGCACGCCCAACCTCGCTAATTTTGAGGTGAGCACTTTGGCGAACAAATTAAAGCGTAAATGTTTTAAAGGGCGCAATATACCGAAGAGACAGCCGACGATCCCTACGGCTGAAGTGAAACAGTCGACCAAAAAAAATACTGATCAGCGGGCGGTGCGCGCAATGTTCGTCCGCTTCGAGATATAGTGCCTCGTATAAACGTATATGTCATGTAAACAAATTTGAAATTCAGCGAAACACCGCACTTCTCAAGTTTAAAGTACTTTATTAATACATGTTTTGTCATATATAACATATAAAAAGAAGAAATGAGCGGTTTAAGAACCGTATCTACGGAGACGCTGCCGATACTAACCGGTCAAACTGAGACAACCTTTAGTTGCACTATTAACGCGTTTATATTTACTAAATAAACAGCTTTCATTTTCTTTTAAGCTACCAATTAGAAGCTTAGTTTGTATCACAAGCCAGTTACGTTACGGTGAGTTGATTAGACGCATCGGTTTGAACTTCAAAGACGACGATTAGTACGTATCATTGAATCTCCGTACTTATGTACTTGCTCTGTGTCCATCCGCCTCCATAAAATTCGACCGTTAAAAAAAGAACAAAAAAGAACGAATTGTGCTTTTGCCTCGCTACTTCCGAAGCAACTTCGTTCAGACAGGCATTTTGTATCAGCAGAGCTTACCTTTACGCAGTTTTGTCGGCATCGCCTGTGACCAACGGCGTCTTGTGTCAGATTAATCGGCACTGGCTCGGCGCTTTGTGTATTCGCGCGTACATTTGTTGATGTCACATGATTTCAATTTCAGCATACATGATATTAACTTCGCAGTTAATATCTTTCACCATTAACTTGCCCACCTCGGTAGATTTCAGCGTATGGTTTCATAATTCAGAAGCCTCTTAGTTTAAACCGTCGCCTTTACCCCTTCGGTTACTTTCCGGATTAAATGTTTTGGCGTGTAGGCCAGCGCCCATGGTTCCAGCGTCGGGAACATTAGGCGCATATGTCATTGTTAAGTGAAAGTACCGATAGAGAATCCGGCCGCTATTATACTACATAAATGCTTTGCTCCGTGCTATCTTCTTGTTCTCTGCTTTTTATAGTGACCATGACGCGTGTTTTACGGGCCCTGTCAAAAGGTCAAGAAAGGGTCGGTGTGGGAGAGGCTGTCTAATAACCATATATTATAGAAATAAGCAAGAAATATTAACGGCCACGTTTAAATAGGTGCTCCCCTTTGATTGAAATCACGTACAGTCAAAACTGTTGATTGCGTATTGATGAATCGATCCCACGTAAGTTGGGTTCCAGCTAGACATTCCTTTGGACACTGCGTCACCAGATGGCGAATGCAGCCACTTATATCTTTTCACTACTTATCCTCAAAATGAAAGCTTAAAGCTAAGCAGGTAGAGTTTACTTAGCTGTACGTCATATTTGAAAAACAGGAAGCTCCGCTCCCGCTGAGAAGTACTCGGAAAAACACAAGCTCCCCCCCCCCCCCCCCCCGCCCTCTTCGCCCCTTTCATTCATCACCCTTTAAACGTACGTCTTACAATCCAACACATGATTTTGCATTAGCGTCTCATCAGTGGCCAGTGGAAGCTCCGTTTCCAGCACGCGCTGCCTTTCATCTGCAGTTTCGACTGCGCGTGCGGCGAAATGTCACCAAAGGCAGAGAGCTAAGCTTTAGACTAGCGACACTTTATCCGTCTTGATGCTTAAAATTACGATTGCCAGTCATTTGAAGCTTTACCTGATATGGCAGGAAACGGTTTTCCGTCCTACAAAAATCTTAAAAGCAGCATGCGCAATAGAGAAAATGATATTGTCAGCTTGCTGACACCAATGTCTCATTGGCGGAAAGTTTTCAATTTTCCGGGGACGAGGGCGGGGCGACGGGCCCACTTTACGTTCCTTCCGTGCACCCCACCCCGAGGTCCCCGAAGCGAAGGCACTTGCATGGTACTTCTTTCCCGAGGAGCTCCTTTGTGGGAAGTTTGGCGTCACCTCCGGAGGCTCTGCCTCTCTTGGGAAATTTCAAAGGAAACTCGCCCCCTACCCCGTAGGTGGCGCATATCCCAGATCTAATACTCAGGAAGTCGTATTTTCAAATGTAAGCATTAAAACGGCGGTGTCCACAACAAGATTGAGGGATGCATGGAGTGCCGAAATTAGGCTAGTTGCTCTGGTAGGTACTTTCAAGTTTCAAGGTTTTAACTCCGACTACATCGTGTCATCGTTAGGGGTCCATCGAACTGTGCTTTGTGTTAAATTATCCATGTGTTGCAATCTCGAAACAATCAAACTATGTTTTGTGTGTATGTGTTTGTGTGTGTTTGTGTGTGTGCATAGTTTTGGAGTGTTCGAAATGTTCTTCAGTTAATGGCTCTTGATTTCGTATGGGCCAGTCAAAGGAAAAACATTGTTTTTAGGAAAATGCCATCCTTAGATGTGCGTACGGTACCGTTGTTCGTATCCAACCTGTTTGATTCCACCCGCTTGACTTGTATGCCGTTTATCGCACCTAACGTCATGTACTAATTGAAAACGAGCGTGTTGGTGAATAGATACGAATACATGAAATGATAAAATATCGAGGACGGAGACGGAAACAGAACTTTTATTGAGCAACAACATACAATGACATCAAATATAAAGCCGCCCCTCAAAAGTTTCAAAGTTCTCGAACAAGGAAAGTTGGGTTTCTACTTTCGCAACGACTTGCCTCATCCCTGTGTAGAGCTGGCATTTGGGTTGCAACAACTGGGCTTCATGCTACGGAGTAATGCAGATTACGAGAAAACAAGTTTCTCATGAACTTCACGTGATGAAAAGAGTGCTTCCCTCTCAAATGGAAAAAAAATTATTCGGGCGAGGACTCAGGTCTCAAATGGATTACGGGTTCTTCATGGATGCAGCTGCCAGTCTTTTTCAAACATCGTGAAAGAAACTGCTCAAGGAGGGGAACGCCTCGTGTCTACAGTTAAGGACCACCAAGTTTGAACCTCCCGTGATACTTTCTGAGAAACAATTCTCCGCTGACACAATGGATCTGCTGTCGAAAGGACCAAAGCTTGCTCTGGATCTTCTTAAAGGTAGACCAGCTAGCCTCTGTGCATCAAGTCGCGTCATCTATACCTGAATATTAACGGCAAAATTTTTGCTCCGAAGTGCTTGCAGTGTGTCACCATCCACCCCTCGACCAAGCAGGTTTCCACTTGGTTCGGCTGTGCGAGAGCGTCGCCAAGAACACCTAAAATTACTTGAATCGAACAAAACGGTTGTGTTTGTCATTTTGGAGGAAGGTGCTTGTTGTGATAAGGTTCATGATGCCCTGTCAAAGAACTTTGAGTCCTTGAAATCGAGGCCTTCGGGTAGGCTGCACACGAGGGCAAAGAAACTTTGTTCCTTCCTGAATCTGACGTCTTTTAAGTGGTAGTTCTGCCTAACAGTACTTGTCTGTGTTTTTTACTGCAAAGACTCACAAGGATGGAGTTCCCCTCAGGAGCATAATTTAAAAAAATTCGCTGTTGGCAAAAACCTTTGAGTTGTTATCTACAAAAACATTTGTCTAATGTCATCCTCAGTTCGAAACTCCTTCGAATTAATCTCCCGCTTCAATTCGCTTTATTTTCTTTCCATTCCGCACTAAATTATGTCTTTCGACATCGAAGATATATGTATTACAGCCTAGAATCAAAACTCATCCTAGATTCTGGGGCTAATGCGATCCATAAACATGGAATTTGCAACTTTCATAATTCCTCCGGTGTTTCGGTAGAGGGCTTCATCGACCTTCGACCTGATAAATATTTATTTACAGTCCACTTTAGCAGAATATGAAGGAAAGATTTACAGACAAAAGAAAGAAGTGTGTACATGCTCTTGCCTTGCACCATTCCTTAGTGAAATATTTCCTCTTTTTGTCGACAGGGCTATCAACGATTGGTTGGACAAGTCCTTTCAGGGTTGCCTTGTATTTAGGTATGTCCACGATTACTTGGGCATTTATCCAGATATGCTGTGTACGCTGACAGCATCCTTGAAGTTTTCGGACTGCACAGCGGGACTAACTTTTACGCGGGAAAATCCTCCAAAGGAAGGATTACAATTCCTGGTTTTACGGTTACATCCTCATTCCTCAGGTCTTTGTTGGGCCTTCCAGCAGAGATCGGAGAAGCCAGTCCTCTCTTTTACACCCTAGTAAAAAATCTTATATGCACAAGAAATTTCTTAGTTAAAAAAAAAAGCATATGATTAAATTAGATCATGTGTGAGCATACAAGAACCTTATAATAACGTATATGCACAATATAATATTATATAAGCAGTTATAAGAAACCGATAAGGAAGTTTCATATAACATTGCACCCAGATGGTGCAATCTTAAAACATGCCGAAAAGTTCATAAAGTGCGAATAAAGAAAGGTTTATTCAATTCCACTGAGCTGCGGAAGTCAGTACATCGGACAAACTGGGTAATGTGTTAACCATCGACTCAGAGAACACAACTTGGAAGCCTCAGAGGCTTCCAAGTTGTGTTCTCCCAGTCGTCGTTCGCAGCCGTATGTGTGATGAATGTATTCCTTATTTCTCCGATAATAGAATACTGGGCGGGCATAACAACAGATTTGGAAGAGAAATTATTGAATCATTTGCCATGGTGCAGAAATGTTGCCGACAACAACATTTCTGCACCTTCATTATCACTGACAATGACAGAGGCCGAATTCCTGACACCAGAGATAACTAGATTATAGATACCTCGTCGTGACACCAGTGTTTTTTAAACTTTTAAATTTATAGTATTTTTCCCCTTCCCTTTAACGACTTTCTCATTTCCTCCTTCGAGAACGTCGAAACCTTTGGGGGGCGGTCTTATATTTTGTGTCATTCTATGTTGTTGCTCAATAAAAGAAGCCCTGTTTCCGTCCCCGTCCTCGATGTTTTATCCTTTCATGTATGCGTAACGCCATGTAATGAGGAATTTTGGAACAACTAAAGTAAGAAGGGCGGGAGATTAAAAAAAGAAAGAGAGAGAGAGAGAGAGACCGTTAACGCGTCGGTGACGCACTATGCAGAGATTGCTTTGCATTGTTCTTGATTTTCCTATTTATATATAGATAGTCTAATATCGGTATGTCTG